GAATATATCCTTGAAAAACAATATTAAAATTTAAATTGTAGATACATTTACAGAAAAATATTTTTTATTAGCACAAACATGCATTAATCTAAATTCCTCTTTGATTATTAAATAAAAATAAAACTATGTTTTTAATAAAACTATAAATTAATGTTATAATAAATAAGATTGTAGATTATAATTTATTAAATATATCGATTTAATAATAATTAAACTTGTTTATTTGAAATAAATTAGTTGTAGTTTGATTTCGTTGCTAGTTATATAAATGTACATCTTTCTAAATAATGTACCTTACTCAATATTCAATTTATTTATTATAATAAAGTTACCACTTGTATTCATTTGAATGCTAACTCAATAAACCACTTGAAAACACTTAAAACAAATCCAATATATTTAATCCAATAAACATTAATCCGATAGTAAATTGGATAAACATATCTCTAGGCATTTAACACTACGTCAATTGCCCACTGAATTTAGTTTGAATTATAGTATTCTGAGAAAATGCTACATATATTTGATACGAAACAAATTAATTATAACTCAATTTCAATAGACTGATTTAATTAAACCAATAGTGAGGCTTAATTTAAGTGACATTTGCAATAAATTGTGTGTTAATTAAATGAATCAATTGTATCGATAGCTAACTCACGCACCGAAACAAATGTCGGACAATAACATGAAATTCTTGTCCTCAAAGAAGTTTGAGAGCCGAGACCTCTTTGAGTCCACTCTCGACTCTATACTCATTCCTCGGAGTCCGGGAACCGATGGCCACAAGAAGGTCCAGAAGGTATGCATTTAAACTTTTCAATAACAACCTTAGGTCGCAATATAAACAAGGCTCACACGTGATATCTGTAGATTAACCACAATTCGGGATAACTTATTTATAGGATAACATTAGCCCCATCTTAAAGTATAGCCATAGACTTAATCTGTAATCGCATGTTAAATTCCATAGGGTGAGAGGGGTTGGCAGAAAGATCCTATAAACCACATTACTCTACACAGAATTGTGGTTAAAAATTTAGGCTATTCTGAAACATTCTGGTTATTATTTTGATATACCTTTTTTGCATTAAATTAAACCCACATTAAAATAATTAGCAGGTTAAAACTTATCAATTTTTAAAATTAATATTAAAAACAATAGTTTATACGGAAAACAATGTCGACACTGGAGTGGACGGTAGAGAATGACGAGTTCACGGCCAACACACCGCTGGGTCGGCGCACGTTCACCAACATTATGGCCACTTTGAACCCAAACCATTGCAAACGAGTGATACTCGCCTGTCATTACGACTCCAAACTCAATCGGGAGAAGACATTTCTGGGCGCCACCGACTCGGCCGTCCCCTGCGCTCTCA